GGTATAGAGGCACTTACGGGTTTTGCATCAGCATTTTGTTTTTCGATGGAAGTCTGTTTTTATCAAAATATTTGATATCAAGACAGAGTGACGTGGTAAAGATGAACTTAGTTCCATCAAAATGTGCACAATAAAATGTTGATGCTTTGACCTATCTCCACTGCAAAGCTTGAAAGTTCCTCTATACTTACTTTGGATTTGTATGGATATTTTTATATTATTATTTATATTTTTGTGGATGAGCACCCAGGAATTCACCTTACGGTACGAGTGCTGCAGCTACATATATTATCACTGATAAAATGCATCTGCCTTCAAAGCTAATGAAATAGTGTTTTGCAAGTTGTACTACTTCACTCTAATGACAGTAAAAGGGTTAATAATTCAGGTGAAATTAAATAAACGTTTTTATTGGAAACATGATAGCATTAGATAATGGAGTAAAATAACTCTAGCTAATGACATTAAATAATTCTACTTCAGCTATAATTAATAATTTATGAAAGCTATGTATTTGATGGTGTGTTCTGTAACACAAATATTTAATATCAGAAGTTTTGATATAGTAAAATGACAGTATCATCCTAAATATGGTGCTAGAGAGTGCTGGAAAATTCTCTATGCAGCATGTATTTCTAATATCCTATTCAGTAAAGGAAAAAAAATACTATTATTTGTTTTGTGGAGGATGGATTGGATTTTTTTTAGCAACATTTATGGTTTTAGCTACATTCTATTAAAACAATTATGTGACAAGCGTAGGTAAGTGAATTCAACACAGGTCACTATTTTTGTTTTAAATTAAAAGAAGAGTTAGGCCCAACCCTCATAGACCCCATCTGGTCACACTCAGCATATGAACTGGTATAACTATAGCTGAAAGAAGAATTCATGCATTCTCTCCCCCAGGGCTAGCTGAGACTGATACTTCAAGAGAAGGGTCCTACATACATATCTGAACTTGACTTGTTTAATACAGTGCAAATAAAAAGATGAAAAAGAAATCAGTTTTAAAACATTATTGGAAATTAAACAAAACACACTACCCTTGTTTACCAAAATATTCAATAGAGTTAAAAAGGGATTCAAGGAGTCATGTAGTTTTTGCCGATATCCTGTTGTTCATCTGTCTACCTCACCATGCTGGCAATATTCTTGACGATTTCCAGTACAGTTGTCATTAGTGAGGCAAACTTAAACGTGTGTTCTTGCACCCTAAAATGCCATGCAGAAGCTCTTTTCAAAAACAGCTAAGTGGAAATATGACACAAATACATCTACTGGGTGGGTTTATATCTCAAAGGCATAGCCCTAAAAGAGATGTGTTTTATCATAACATTTACTTGAGAAAACACATTTGTGTACTGGAAGAGAAACAGTGTTTTTTCATGTTTTCCTTACACTTTTTAATTCAATTATACTCTTTTATGTGCACTCTGTGGACACTACAGAAGACTGTAGCAAACATTGCCATGAGCTGAATTACACCATCACAGTGCAAATCGTTATGCAGCTACTGCCTGCATTTGCTGAAGCCAGCAGAGAGCATGGATTAGAAGGACATTGTGCATCACTGTGTACTGCACCTTATCTGGGCCCCTGTGGTGCCCACTCTGCACCCTCAGGACCCTTTAGTATGTGTTTCATGGCTCTTATATCCAATCCTTTAGTAGTGCTAGTGAGACCACTGGTTTGCTATAATGGGAGTGATTTCTAACAGTTTCAGATATCATGCAGTTGCAGAAATATAATTGGACCAGGACTGAATGGTCAGCAAGAGGTGAGAGCCAGGCCAAGAATCAGAGGCATGCCATTGTGCTTGTCACTCTAACTTTTAGACAACCACATCCCTAATGGAGGGATTTACTGCAGTGACCGGTTGACTGGAAATAATGTCACATTAGGAATTGGAAGTGACTCGCCAGCAAAATTTGCTAAAAATATTACTTCCCTGCTACTATGGAGTTGCTCCTTTGCTGGTTCTGCCTTTCACCATTATGGGAAGCTATGAAACAACCTATTCTCCCATGTTATTTGTGTAAAATACTTTGTTTGTAAAGAAGCATTGACTTGAGAGAATCACACTTCAATTTTCTTCTGATAACATACTGGAAAAGTTGGGAAAGTTCATTAATTTGTAATATTCCTGTTAATGTTTATAACTTTGCTTCCTCACATTTCATCACTATCCTGATGCATGGAATATTTTAAAAGAACAGATCATTAAATATTTATTTGGATATGTTTTTGACGGGTTCAAGCTATCCTTGCAAACCCATCTTGAATAAATTACCCTACCTTGTATAAAGCAAACATAGTATGTTTATTATCAAAATAGAATTTCACTTCTCTTCTAAAAATTATACCAAAATATAAAAATTAGAAAGTGCAAAAGTTTACTTAATAGACTAGATACTAGATAATTTGTATACACAAATGGCAACATTTAAACTTGTATTGCTTATTTTACTAACTATTTAATCAAGCAGATCTTAAAAAAATAAAACTGAAAAAAAAAATTGCATAGTGAAATACAATTCAACTGCCTGTATTGTTTTACATGATAAAAATGTACCTTTTCATATTGATTTTTTTCTGTACAAACCCACAACGAATTTTTAGAGATGAAATCTTCAAATTAAGCAACTTTAATTAAAATAATAAATACAAACCAAAATAGGTTTAAGTTGCTTTATATAAAAATATCTTTCTTTAGGTAGGAAGTAATTACATTATATATATATCTGTTCTCTCTTTGGCAATTATGTGTTTCTGGCACAAGAACAAGGTTACCCATGAATTACTATTATAGCAAAGTGGTCATTCCATGATTATCATGGATTCATGCAGCCATGCAGTTGCTTAATTACAATAGCTGGCAGGGGGAGATTCAATACTCCATCCACGCTTATATTTAGTGTAAATGGAACCAAGTGAAATTGAAGTGTGTATGGCTAGATTTACAGCTCTTTCTTCAAGCTCATGTAGTGTGCAGTAGAGTGGATCAAAGAACATTTATATGTGATGCACATGGACATTCTCACTGTTCATCCAAATTCACGCAGATATATGTTATATACTGTATCTATGTTTTATGAGCTAAGGCCCCATTCACATGGGGGGGATCTGTTATTCCTGCCGCAAGAACCTAAGGATTTCTGCAGGAGGAATCCCAGGTATCCCCATTCAGATGCGACAGCTGTACACATTAAAAAAAATTGTAATTGTACATTGTGTGATTAAATACAGCTTGGAATAGGTAACAGTCCTCTATCCCATACCATGTGATGTGGTCATGTTAGATGTGGTCATGTTAACGGAGTCCAAGTCTGTGGTATTATTTGTGGAGTGATGTTGATTGTTCTTTGCCTTGCCTTTGCATAGATGTTTTATCATTCCAAAATATTATAGTAACATTCTTAAAAAAAATGCTGCAGATTCCATCTCGTAAGTTAGCATTTTCTTCCCTTGTTTATTTAGTTCACTGGCCCTTGAAATCTACAGGAAGGCAAACAAGAAAAATGGTATTTCAAACATGCTGATAAAATTAACTTACATTTTTCAATCTAAACCAGTGAAAAAAAAGCCTAATGTGGAAACAAAACTGCCATAATTTGCAAAAAATTAGGGCTGCGGAAATTAATGATTAATTTCTCGATTAATCGTAAAAAAATTTTATCGATTAAAATTCTTTTGATCGGTACTCACCTCTCTGCCATCTTCCGTGAGTCCTGTCGGAGATCCGGTGATGTCACGGACATCGACGTCATCGGACTCCTCCCCCCCTTTCCAAGATGGCTCTGTCAGCTAGCGAAGGGAAGGGGGGAAGAGTCCGGTGACGTCGATGTCCATGACGTCACCGGACTCCTCCCCCCTTCCCTTCGTTAGTCGACGGAGCCACTTGGGCTGGTGAGTTTGCCCAAGAAATTTTCTGCAAATGAGTAAATCTTAGATGCCTCGA